CTCTCCGGCGCCTGATCCGCCCGCTGGTCCCTCTTGCAATGTCACCATGCTGAAACATACAACATAACCACTATCAGGATACTCCTCCCTACTGGGAAACCAAACATACTCACTACCAGGTTCCCGGTCTTGTCTCGGCCTTCCCTGAATCGAGTACGGATCCTCTGCTTTCAGTAGTACGGGCCCATACTACCTTCCACATCTATCCGTACTTTCCTCAGGAACTTCTTTGACTCCATCAGGTCCCTTTTGCTACTTCTACTGCTCTCAGCACTACCTCATCCTAGGCTTACCCTAGGGAAACCTTTGACTCAACTCAACCAGTCCTCAGCTGCTGAAGGCCTCCTTGCAATGCCAATTAGCCATCACCTAGATACCATCACATGTGACGAGGCTCAGATAATCCTTCAAGTAAAAGAATCGTTCCTACAACGGTTGGACTCAAACAAGAGCTGCGCAATAGGACCAAATCCAACACTCTGAGATTATTCAACCCTGATCACATGTGACGTGACGTATCCACCTAATGGCTAACTCCCATCACTCAGAATCCCACAATGCACAAAGCAAGAAGCATTCGGACAAGGGAAAATCTAACCATAACATACTCAAGCAATCATATCCACATAGCAAGAATCTAACTAGCATGCAACACAACTCATAACTCAGGCATAACCTACTCAGGCTATCCTACTACTGACTATTCAACACTGTCATGCAGATCAAAAGCACATATAACAGGCACATAAGGCATCCTCCCTAGATCCTTAGTCCTAATCTAGCATGCTACTCTATTAACTGATAATCAAAACATAAACTTGTATGGGTATTTTGGGGTACTTACTTGAGCTCGGTTGATTGCATGCACCACACCTCTTTTCTCTTTCAAGTTCTTTTCTTTCTGAATTCTTTTACTTTTATAAAGCCGTTTTCTTTCTCAAAACTCTCTTTACAGAACTATCTTTTCACTTTTGAAAACTTTTTATCCGACCCCTCAGTTTGAGTTCAGGCACACCCGAGAGTATGCCCGAATCCCTCAAACCAAGGCTCTGATACCAACTTGTAACGACCCAAAATTTAAGACCAAAAATTTCTTTAATAAACCATTACTTAAAATAACTTCATCATTCCAAAACATAATATGAGTATAAGTTTTCAAAACATATGTTCGTTATCAGAGTAAAATTCCCAGGCTGTCTAATCTATGGTGTGTGCCATGCGATCACCCCGAGCTCCTTCCTCCGCTACCGGAAGTACCTGAAACCAAAACTGAAAACCGTAAGCACGAAGCTTAGTGAGTTCCCCACCCTACCACATACCAGGCATAACCACATACTGCACATAATGGGCCACACCCCCTATCTTGGGCCTCGCCCCCTACCTCGGGCCTCGCCCGCTACAACGGCCCCGCCGCTCCAGGCCCCGCCTGGCTTCGAGCCCCGCTCGGATACAGATCTGTTTTTCTTAGGCCTCGCCTGTCACAGGGCCTCACCCGTTACGTAATAATAACAACACATAAACATTTCATAACACATAACTAACGCATGCAACTGGTTCGGTCCTAAGGCCTCGCCTCTAATCTGCTACTAGTGAGATATGGAACCCCATCCACACTCTGCTATTGGTGAGATACGGGACCTCGCCCACACTCACCTCCCTTCCAGGTACATACATGTATCACACAGACAACAAGTATAACTATCATATATAACAATTCCGTGGGCGCCCGCCCGCTATTACTGGACCTCGTACCGCAAACGATGCTAGTATACTATACCTAGGGCTAACCCCCAGGTCTTCTACTCATAACTACATGGGCCGACATTGTGGCCTTAGACCCATTCACACAAAGGGAAACTCACCTGAACTGGCTGAACTTGCTGATGATCTCACTAGCTGCTTCCCGACAACTCACGGAACTCCTGCTCCCCTTGCTCCCCGAACTACCAATATCAATGTAACACTGAGTCTAACTGACCCCGAAAGACAACCAAGTCCACCCTGGTCCAAAGTCATCCTTCCAGGTCAACCCTACTCGTCGAGTCACCCTACTGACTCGCCGAGTTCATAATATTCAGATTCCTTCCATTCCTGACTAGACTCGCCGAGTCAGACCATGACTCGCCGAGTCTACCGATTTCTGAGTCCAGACCTGTCCAACTCACCGAGTCTCCACCCGACTCACTGATTCGAGTCACAACTCGAAGGGTTTGGGGGTTTCGCGACCTGACTCGCCGAGTCCAAGAACAGACTCGCCGAGTCCAAGGCAATCCTCATACGACTCGACGAGTTGTTCATCCCACTCGTCGAGTTTCTCCAAATCTTCATGCTACTCGCCGAGTCCGCTCAAAGGACTCGTCGAGTCCCTTCAGATCTCCTTACATGCAGATGATTTTTGAGTCATGCATGGACTCCAAACTATAGATCCATCCTTCCCAAGCCTATTCCACACGTAAAGTTGCAAACTTTACGTGTACAGAAGGAGATCTAGGCAAGATACGCCATTAACTAGGGTGTAAGGCCAAGGGACTTCAAAATCGACTCAATGGCTGATACTTTATGCTTCTCCAGGCCCTAAAACACTTGAATCTGAAGTAGCAACTTCAGATCCGGCCTCTATCCCAAAATAACAACATTATGGCAAAAGAGCCCCACAACCACACATAGATCTAGGTGCAAAAAGAGTCCAGGAACTAGTTTATTACCTTCAAGTGCTCAGAATGGACTCACAATCCCAGATCTAAAGCTCCTTCTTGCTCCTCCAAGTTCCTTCTTCCTTTTCCAAGCCTTAATGCACCTTCCAAGGCTCAACTAGGAGATATGACAGCTAGGGTTTGATATCCAAGGCTTAAGAGGCAGTAAGGAACCCTAGGAAGAAGATTAAGACGTTTATATAGGCCCCAAGTCCCGAATTTAGGGTTTTCCATGCACAGACCAGACTCGCCGAGTCACCTTAGCCGACTCGCCGAGTCGGTCGCTTACACCTCGACCCGGATCCCGCTCGGACTCGCCAAGTCCCTCCTTGGACTCGTCGAGTCGGCCCTTAAATTAGGGCTTTTCTTTCCCTTCTTGGCCTTAGAAACTTTGGGTGTTACATACTATATGATGAGCTACTATTACATATTATACATGTAGATTAGATCTGTCTATCCTAGTACAAAAGGATACTATACGGGACTAACCATTCCGAAACCCAGCTGTTAGCAACAGAAGTAAATGCACATCTACGGATGCCTACGGTTAATACTTTACAAAGGTACCTTTACGGGACTAACCATTCCTACACCCTGCTGTTAGCTATAGAGGACAATGCACATCTACAGATGCCTACGGTTAATACTATTCGGCATTTACTATGTCGTGTTTATCCTAGTACAAAAGGATAATACTTAAATGTTTATATTTTCCCTATTACTTTTATTTTGTGATACGTTCACATAACGATGAGGTAGACTATATATTGTTAATAGTAGTCATGCAGGGGAAAAACCATCTTTGTTATTTTCAAAACATTCAGGTCTTGGTAGAAGACTAATTTTATACTAGCAGGAAATATGAGATTTTCTAGGGTTTTCACACTTATATCAAATGTTCCATTCAAAGATTTACATGGCATTGATAACAGCTTTCCAAAACAAAGTAATGACACTTAAAGACTTATGAATTCAGAAGTTTATGTTGATCTACTCTCTTTCAAAATAACTTGTATTCTCAGGTCACCAGTAGACAGGTACGATGACTAGGTTTTGAGAAGACGGAGCACAGACAAGACTCGTCTTTTATTTTGATTACATATTTTGGTGTCTTATTACTATTAAAGAACACACATGTATTAAAACTTTACTTATAATGCAATGGATGATGTTGTTACTTTTTTACTACTTTGCACTGTTATGATACTTCACATGACGTCCTCCACCCCTGAAGATTTCTGCCGTTCTTGGTTTTGGGGTGTGACAACCCTTATTCCTTGTGAATTTGGAGTTAAGTCACTTATTCGAAGGCCTATCCTGTTTTGATTACATATAACTGGTATGCACTTTACAAATAGTGACGTAACCATAAAATAAAATACATGTCACCAAAGTTTTTGGACCAACATATATTACATTCATTGAACTTACGGTGTCACTAAAAAATACCATATGAACAATAAAAAAAAATATCAACAAATATATTAACTTATACAAATTAACATCTTTGAATATCATGATAACCACATTTTCGTTTTATACAAAAACATGCATCCCAAAATGAAAGTTTGTATATTGTTAGTTATCTCTCTCAATATTATTGTACAAAGTCTAGAAATATAATCTACATATGAACTATATATAATAAAGTAAATTTAATACCATAAGTGAGAATTTTTTTGATTTTTAACAACTAATTAGTTGAAAGTTAATATAATATTAAAAACTTTTTAATAATAATAATTAATTTGTTGAAAGTTAAAAAGTTATTAAAGTTTTAAATCAATATAATATAAAAGAATGATTATCTCGAACTATATTGTTTTTGTTGATTTGAAATAAACTTTTCTTTTATACGATATAAATTAGCGCGTTATCCCATGTATCATTTATTAAAAAATAAATGTAGTAAATATATTTTTGTATCTTGTTTGACAATTTAAAAAGGCGATGTTGAAGGGTTGATTTATTCAGGAGAGGAGAGAAATATATAAAACAGAAACGGAGAGTGAGATTTGTCTGGAGAGGAAAACTTCCGTCAACCCTCTCTTCTTCACTCTTTGATCATCTCTCCTTCACGAGAATTTGATCATTCAAATCAATACAACCAGAAAAAAGGGTATACGTATATGTATACGTATACGTATACGTATCAACGGGGTTTGGATATTTGATTGATCTACAGATCTAACACATGTAAACCCCACATGGGTTTCCTCTAATTTCTTCAGATCTCCATCCTTTTCATTTGGCAGCTCACCAGAAAATACACCCCTGAAAAGGCCTAACTTTCAACTATGAGTCGTCTTTCTTCTTCTTTCTCTATTTTCTATTTATCGGTTTAATCCGTTTTACCTAATGGGTGTTTTGTACCTTTTTTTTTTTTGTTAATTGATTCGTAATTTCTATTCATTTGTCCTTCGGGTATGCGAGATTCGACTTGACCCGAAAAGATTCATCGTAATTCCTTTTATGTGATTCTGGTTTCAATTCCAGCTAGGGTTTGCTTTGAGTTTCTTCGATTTATCAGTTTTGCTTCTTCTCTTAATGCAGGGAAACTGAACACTGAAATCAGCGGAGATTTAGTAGTTATAGTGTTGTTGACATCCATTTTTGGATGGTGATAAATTGGTGTGTTACGTTGTGTTGAAATGAGGCATGTTATCAAGATTGATAAATTTTCTAAAAGCCTGCTGGCGACCTTCAGATGGTTTGGATACAGCTGGCAGGCAGGAGGGTCTTCTTTGGTTTAAAGACACCGGTCACCATTTGAATGGCGATTACTCCATGGCTGTTGTTCAAGCTAACATGTTGCTTGAAGATCAAAGTCAAATTGAGTCAGGTCCTTTGAGCTTTCATGATTCTGGTCCATATGGAACCTTTGTTGGTGTTTATGATGGTCATGGTGGGCCCGAAACATCGCGATATGTCAATGATAATCTTTTCCATAATCTTAAAAGTAAGTGAGTGAGAGCAGGTTTAAGTGTTTTTGGAAGGAATCGAATCTGTCTAAAAGGAATTGGAATCTGTCATGTGATTGGTTTGCAAGAAACTTTGCTGAAATTCTAGGGTTAAAAGGGTATTTTAGTATTTTGTTTAACAATAAAGAAATGTGGGAGCTGAGAATTCCATTGTTTTTAGGATATAGAATCTTGAAGTTCATTGATGAAAGGAGTTTTGTGTCTTCTGAATTCCGATTGAATTGAATTCCGTTCATATGCCAACCAAACGCTGGATTCCATGGGGTTTTTCCTGAATTGGAATTCAATTCCATTCCAATCCTTTGTTTGGTCGCAAATGAGTACGGAATTGAATTCCATCAGAATTCACAAAACACTTTCACAAGCGGATTTCAAGATTCCATCCTAGAAACCATGGAATTCAATTCCCAGCATTTCTCTTTTATACTCAAATTAAATACCCTTTTAACTCATGAATTCCATTCCATTTCCCATCAACCAAATTCCATACCCTCTTAACAGATTCAAATTCAAACTTTCTTGTTATCCTCTTCATTTGTTATAAATCACCTAACAATTTTTAATCACATTTGTAGGGATTACATCAGAACACAATTCTATCTCAGTGGATGTAATACGAAAAGCATTTCAGTCAACCGAAGAGGGGTTTTTATCGATTGTTGCTAAACAATGGGCAGTGAAACCACAATTAGCTTCTGTTGGAACTTGTTGCTTAATTGGTGTGATTTGTAATGGAACCCTTTTCATTGCAAATGTTGGTGATTCACGTGCTGTTTTAGGAAGAACAGTGAAAGCAACAGGGGAGGTTATTGCTATTCAATTATCAGTGGAACATAATGCAAGCATAGAGTCCATTAGACAAGAGCTTCACACTTTGCATCCTGATGACCCTCAGATTGTTGTTTTAAAGCATAATGTTTGGCGTGTGAAAGGCCTCATACAGGTATGATTTTCATGACTTTTTATATAGAATAGAAAAGTAGTCCTATGTCAAAATAAAGAAATGATGTGACATTAATTAGATAATCACACAGTTCATTAAAGTTGGGAAGAACTAGGAAATTTTATGTTTTTGTCTAGAGTAGAAAAGTGTTTGTGGTTACACCAGAAAAAGTTGATTTTATAATGTGTAGGGCCAAAATAATGGAAATTTGAGAAACTTTTAAGTAGTGTGTTTGCTTTAGGTTTTTTTTGATCTTTTGCACATAATGCTTTTAAGGTGAAAAATTAAGGTTTTACACAACATAGTTCAAAGATGAAATGAGTTATTTTTTAACTTCAAAATAAAAAAGAATCACTTTTTTTACATATAGAAATGAGATAACTACATTTAGTTCTATCAAATGATTAAATGTCTGCTAGAGTAGAACATTTAGTGGAATAGATGGATGCTTCGTATTTACTTAATGCATAATATAATTTTTATTAATTAAATGCATGAAAGAAAAAGGGATGGGGTGTATTAATTTTGGATCAACATAAGAAATTAACAAGTACATTGCTATTTCTTCCATTTAATCCTTTAATGTATTGTTGAAGTAAATATATTATTTGGTTAGTTTGCTTTTGCATCCGAGGATAATGTTTGGGATTGTGTATGTTGTAGATATCTAGATCAATAGGTGATGTATACCTCAAGAAAGCGGAATTTAATAGGGAGCCCTTGTACGCCAAATTTCGTCTCCGTGATCCTATCAAAAAGCCGATATTGAGTTCCGATCCATCAATATCCGTGCACGAAATCCAACCGTTCGATCAATTTCTCATATTTGCATCCGACGGTCTCTGGGAGCAACTTACCAATCAAGAAGCAGTTGATATCGTCCAAAAACACCCTCATAACGTAAACATCTCCTCTTTTCCATCTTCATTCCACATGCCCGATTCGACACGACATTGCATGACATGATTTGACACGACATAACATTTACTGTGTTTGGCGTGCATTGGACTGAGACTGAGACTGGGATTGATGTCAATTGAACAAAAACTGTATTTTTTGTCCCATCCAAAAAGGTGTGGGTCAGACACTTATTTCTTGTTTGTGCAAAAGACGTGAATGTTCTCATCCTCATCATCAAAAATAGCCCTAGACAGCTTCGTCAAGTCTAAATTTAAATCCCATAAATTTAAATCCATATGGTCGGTCGATGTAAACTTAATTTAAATGTGTGTTGCAGGGAAGTGCTAAGAGGTTGTTGAAAGCCGCTTTACATGAAGCGGCAAAGAAGCGGGAAATGAGGTATTCAGATTTGAAGAAAATCGATAGGGGCGTAAGGCGTCATTTCCACGATGACATCACTGTCGTTGTGTTGTTTCTAGATTCCAGTCTTGTTAGTAAAGCGAGCTCAAAGGGCGGGCCCACGGTGTCCCTGAGGGGTGGTGGGATCAATCTGTCGGCAAAATCTCTCACACCGCTATCAACCACCTCGTAACTTGTTACTGCCACCATCAGCCACCATCTATTGTTGTTATCTGGTGAATCTATTTAAGGTTAACCCCCACCCGAAGTACCTTAAAGTTGTAGGTTTGAATCTGAAGAAACAAAGGGTGAAAGATTTTGGACATGAAAAGCTTATTTTGAAGCTAATCCTTTTTATTTTATTAACATTTGTTACCATTGTATTTCGTTATTTCTGTGTAAGTAAGAATAACAACTGGGGTTATGTTATGAATGTCCATTTTCGTCCATGTTATTTATGTCGAAGCATTCCAAAGTGTCACTTCATAACTAAGTTACACCATGGGGCATCTAGTTTTATATCTTATGAACCAAATTGAAAAGATAATGCATTGGTTTAACACTAGAAACCAATGGTAGAATCAAACTTGGTTGAGAAGTCTAAAACCAAATAATTTTCTTCCAATATAGTTCAAACTAGATAGTATTCGTTTCCTTGAATTTCCATTTTTCTGTTTTGGTTTTTGAAGTTCTGGGTAAACTATCTTGCCTCTAGTCAAACTGGTGCACTTTAACTTGTATGGTAGGAGTATCGTGTGTAGATGACTATTGCATTCATGATTGGATTTGATCAAGTTGAAGCAACTTTACCCATTTTTGCATGTCAACTTTCAACTTATGTTTCCCATTGATGGCATTGTGATCCGAAAACAACACGAATTCATTGGGAATAGATAGATAGTGTTGCAAATGAGTTAGACCCTGAATAATGGTATAAAATTCTTTGTCGTAAGTGGAGAAGGGATGCTACGTATCGTTTTATCTCTCGTTGAAGAAAGTGATGGTTGTTAATGGCATAGTACACTGTGGATCCCAACTCCAAATGCATCACAATCCGCTTAAGCTGAAGGGAGTGGTGTCATCGAAACTGTACTCCCTTCCCTGCCACATAAGCGCCACATCACTCTTTACTATACAAGTGCGGTTTCATGCCACACCAAGGGAATGAGATTATGGTAAAGAGAGAGAAAAAAAAAGAAGAAAAAAGTGATTGGTTGAAAGAGAAGAGAAAGAATAAATAAAAGAGGAGAGAGAGTGAAAGTGCATCAAGGGAGTATCGCACTGCGGTCTAAACCGCACCAAACCGCAGTCAGGAGGCGGTGTTCCCCTGCCTATGTGGCAAAAAGTGCGGTAAAGACAGCATCCACACACCACAACCTTAGAAACTTCACTAAAATTAAACAAAAACAAAAGTGCAAAATTGGTCTCTGTAGTTCGTAAAAACTGAGGATAAGGTCAAAAGAGTTTACTACGAAAGTCTAAAATACAAATTTTTCCGAGGTTTTGAAAATTGAAAGATAATTTTTCCCTTGTTTATTTTTTGCATTTTTATATTATTTTTAATAGTTTATTAATTAAAAATAAAAAATAAAAGAATTAAGCTCATCCATCCCACTTCAACGTGCTCTCTCTCTCTCTCTCATTCAACATATATAGAACACAAAATAAATATGTATTCAGAGTTCTTTTGTTTTTTATTTTTAATTAAAAAGCATTATAAACAATATGAAAAAAATACAAAAATAAAATAATAAAAAAGGAAAAATTGTCCCCAAGCTCATAGGAATTCCTGATTTGGACTTTTCATACCATTTGTAAACTTTTTGTACCAAATCCATAATTTTTATGCAAACCAAAGGGACGATTTTTCAATTTTGTCTATGTAGCGCCAACACTAAAACCGGACTTGGGTTACTATCATTTTCAAGGTCTCCAAGGCCCTTTTAGTTGCTTCGTTCCATGTAAATTGCATGTCCTTTTCCTCTTAAAGTATCCAGAACATTAGAGCTATGAGGGTGTTGAAATATATAACAAGTTGTTGGTAGATTCAGACCAACCCATGAAAGCTATGAATTTCATGGATCACAGTCCGAGTAAGTAAACTAGTAATCACCTTGATTTTGCTTCCTTCATTTGATTTCACTTCCTGAGCCTAAAAGGTAACATTGGTGTAATAAAGTGACACTTTTTCCTATTGGTGAATAATCGTTGCTTGTGTAAAACCAAGATAATTTGACATAAGTGTGATAAGTGTTGCACCAAAGTGTCACTATCAAGACGTCGTGGAAATAGACAACCATAAATTTTCTAATGAAAATTTTAGAAAACTTGGTTTATTAGAAGGTAAGTTTTACTTAGGACATTAGATAATCCAAAATGAATAGCAATCCTCAACTAAAAGGTCGTCTTGGGTTTTGAATTCGTTTTCCAACCATCATTCATTCTTAGCCAAATTTGATGGTACCCACTTTGAAGCTCTGAATATTGTGTCACCATGTTATGGATATAAGGCATATCCGAATTCATAAAATTGGAAACTGATATTTGAACATGATTTTAATTAAAATTCGGTTATAGATACACATCTAGAAAATCGTATCGTGTTGTGATACTAATAAAGTATATACAACCTAGTTGTATGTGTATCTACACATGAACAAGTTGAAACACTGACAAACGAGTGTTAAGTTCTTGAAGGGATGAAGACGCAATCTCGATTTTAGATCTCCAAAGAATGATTTCTCATTAACCCATTAAGTTATCTTTTATTTAGATGTTAGCCATCAGATGGCATATAATGAGTTCTTACATATAGAAAAACCACATGGTTACATCGGGCCTTGGGTACTATCTTCCTTAAGAAACACCTAAGCATCTAGGAAGCCTCCATTGTAACATCCCAATGATGAGATACTTTTAATTTTGACCCTATAATTGAATTATATTACATTATGATCCATAAGTATAAGAATGCGTGCATTGAAGTCCTTAGTGACATTTTTCGAAATTTGGGAGTTTGGGTAGTATGCCATGCGTACGTGTGTACGCTGAGCATACTAGGGCGCGCCCTAGTACGCAAGGCATACATATGTACACAAGGCGTACATGTCAAGCATGCAAACCCTAATTTTTAGGGTTTGTCTCATATTTAAACCCCATTATATCATCTTTTTCCTTCACCTCATCAGCCTCCATCCTCTTGGAACGTTTTGCAACCCTAATCCATCTTGTGAAACATTTCTAAGCTTGAGTGTGGGTGTTTTATGCCTTTGAAGAAGAGGGAAAAGAGTGAAGATAATATTGGAGGAGTGAAGCTCTTTAGATCCGAGATCTCACCACCTTTTGGCATCATTTGGAGGTATAAAGTTCTAAAATTGGTGAAGTTTCATTTAGATATTGTGTCGGGGTGGTTTTTTTGTTCCTTTTGTCCCAAATGTGGTGATTCATGAACATAGCATGTTCTTGACCCATTAAGTTGTCGTTTCAGACCTTAGAAAAGGGGTCTTAAGTCATAAAAAAGGGATCTAAGTGGTTGGTTTTTCTCCATGCATCATCTAGAGAGTCTTAATGGATTAAGATGTTGATTTAAGCTCTTAATGGACATGAGAAGTCATAAAGTTGGAAAATTTATGACTCTAAAGGATATTTTAGTCTTGGGTCTATAAGTTGGACGAAAGGACTTATCGCATTAAGCACTTAATGAAGGATTGGAAGATCTGGGCATATGCCTTGTGTAAATTGAGTATGCAAAGCGTATGTGGTCAAGGCCCCCGATGGCGGTCAATGAAGGAGTATACCCAACGTACATCCAAAGTACGCCCCAATTACATTTTCTGTGACCCAGCTGACTTTTGACGTAACAAAGAGTTGACGTAACAAAGAGGTCTTCACTCGGTAGTAGTAGTAGTTGTGGTTCACTCTGGTTTTCAGAATCACTTCTTCATCTTCAAGCTGCGATAGGCACACATCATTGGGGTAGCAACTTCAATTGTAGTAGAAAGAGAATAAGACTACAGATCGTTAAGTTTAAGAGGGTCACTTTATGTATCAACAAGACCCTCACTCTTATCAGCCTCCACTTCCTTTGAACGTCCCTAAAACCCTAGTTTCCATTGAGAGTGATCTTTAAGCTTGAAAGTGACTTTAGTGGCCTTTTTGGTGTGTTTGCAAAAGGATAAAGTTGGTGAGCAAGCCTTGGACGTGGTTGAGCTTCAAGATCATGAATCTACATCATCTTGGGAAGCTTTTGAAGGTAAAAAGCTCATACCTTGTTGATCCTTTTGATAGTTAGAGTTAGTGTTTGTTTATAAGCTCATTTTTGGTCCATGGATCCTCTTTTGTGAGTTTGGGAAACTCCAAAAGCTATAAATGCTAGATCTTAGTCCCTTTGGCATGTTAGAAGCATAAAAATGATATTTCATGGTTGATATGAAGCCATACATTAATCTAGGTCCTTTAAGTGATCCTTGATGAACAAAAATGGATGTTGGACTCCCATAAGACATGCTAAGGCATAAAGTTGCCAACTTTATGCCCTAGGACCCTCCTAATGATCAAGATCTGGAAGTTGGATTAAGTGACTGCATGGATTAAGCACCAAATGGCTAAAGTTGCTGAGAAGCACAGTACGTTGGGCATACCAAGATGTACGCAACACGTATTGCATGGCAGGAAAGTACGCTGAGTGTACTGGGATTATGCTGATGTATGCTACCTGTGAGCTTTTGGACCTGTATAGGCTTTTGGGGTCACCGGACCTTATTTGATTTTGGGCCTTGATCTGTTTGGAGTAGGTGGGCCTTTGAATTTGATAATGGGCTATAAGTGACGTAGTTGAACCTTTTGGGCCTTGGAGCCTGATTTGTGTAAAGTATATCAGTTTTAATCCTAACAAACTCAAATAAAAACAAACACACGTAGGTAGTGTACCTATCGATAATAATTTAGTTTAAGCAAGTTGGGTATCGAACACAGGGAATGGTAAACAATTAACAAATACTAACATTATCAAAATAAAGCAATTAATTAAAATGGGGGGCTTTCTCTAGTTTTACAAGACTAGAAACTTAAGTAATTTTCTAAACACTTTAGCAAAAAGGCAATTAACAACTAAAAAGGAACAAAAGACAACCAGATTCAATAAAATTAAAGAGACTTCCGTTTAGATTCGATTCACTTATTCCTATGGTTAATTTTGTGGCAAGTTGTAACGCCCGTAGATCAGGGCTAGTCAATTTAGAGACGTTAAGTGTCGAAAATGACTTTTTTATGGAAGATATTGAAGGAATAATCTTAAATAATTTGTAGTATATGTTACAAGGATTCCGTACATATAAAGAACACCAAAATCCGAGTTATAACGAAGAAGTTATGA